TGGCGCAAAAGTTTGAACTACCAGTGTATGTTTGATATCTTTCTATAAATTCATTATGCATTAAGGAAATCATAATCAGTGAATAGACTAATATGAACACGCCTTTTTATCTATCAGCATACACACACACACACACACACACACACACACACACACACACATATATATATATATATCAAACATAAGCCTTAAAGAGAAAAATGTATCTACAATAAATTTTCCTAAGTAGCTTGCATTTTTATTTATATGCACGTTTGCTTACATTCACTATCACGACAAAAAAAAAGAAAAAAGAGAACTAATAAAAGAAGTAGGGAATTTTATAGAAAGGGAACGTTGATAAAGGAAGATCTAAAGTAAACCGAACCATTTAATTTAAGAAATCCGGATGTGAGTTAAAGAAATTTATTTATTTTGCGAAGAAAAGATACATTGTCGTCTAAAATAGATTTTCTTTTATGGAAAGGAATTTTTTACATTACTACTGATTCCTTTACGGAGAGAGTATCTTTGTAACAATAGCTCGTCTTAAACTGAGGATACGTACAACTCTGGAGTTATTATTACTATTATAGTATTGTTACTACAGTAGTAAAATAGTAGAGTATTATTACATATTATAGTTTGACATTTTTATTGTATCGTGTTATTGTTGTTTGACATATTCTTTTTATTTCTTTTCACTTTTCATTGCCAGCAGTATTGCATAAAATTTTTAAATTGAGTTCACATTATTATTGTACACAATGCATGTAGAAAATTGTTAGAACTAAATTTGTGAAAACCTGAAAGCAGAAAAAAATAATATTCTTACGTCTCAGCCTGCATACACAATCCTTGAAAGTCTATAGACAGCTTAGCATGCACATACAACGGTTCACTTTTTTCATAGAACTTATATTTTGTATATTTTGTAATACTATTTAAGTCATTTGTTACGGTTTTCTGGCTGTCTTCAAAGCTATTAAAACAATGACGCTTGAAGCGAGACTTCAATTTAGCAAACAGAAAGCGTCTGCAAGTGCCAAATCTAAGAAGAATTTGGAAACCGTAACTATTTCTTTTGTTGGAAACTGCTTCAAGAGTATGGAACTGTGTGACTTGTTAGGCAGCAGAAACAAGTTATTCCATTAAGCTCTTTTCGGACTAACGAGCTGAATTCTTTCAAAAGTCTGTCCGTTACATTTTTACAAAAGTTTGGAGTTAAGGATCTGTCCTTCAGAAATGGTTACCTTTATGCAAACCTAGGCAGAAGATTTTTGTTTTGTTCCCGCATCATAAGCAAAACACAAAATTTATCTCCAATCACAATTTGTTTGAAAAAAAATTAGGCTTAATTCCCCCCTCGCAGCAAAGTTTTATTGCTACGCTTTGTTCCATTCCATGACAGCAAATGTTCACTGGATTAAATCAAATGAATAATCACATTGTAATTAAGTAGGCGATATTTCAGGAGAATTAAGATGAGATATCACAATAATAAATGCGATCAGTTACTGTTTGGCAGGTTTGCTAGAATATATTAAAAAATTAGCCCTATAGCTTTAAGGACACTTTCTGTGTTCCGGTAAGCAAAATTTAAGGACAAACCAGGTTTTCACCTATAACGCCGCAAAAAAGTTATCTAAATATGGAATTTCATACCATAATAATCTCAATGATCTGGAAACAATATCGGAAAAATGTAATGGATATAGTGCGAACTTGTTTTAGAAATGGCTGCATAGTACATTAGCTGCCATAACAGAAATGCATTGCTTTGTATATTATTACAAAAGAAAGGAATCTTTATAAGGAGACGCATTCGAGTTTTAAGTCAGCAAATGATCTGTATCTTCTGTCTGTATTTTAAGCAATGTTGTCGATGTTTCCGGAACATAACATTGCCATTTTCGTTTTCAACATTGCTTTCAACTGAGAACATTTATCAGTGACTTATAGACGCGACAAGGAGTTTCATCAAAGCAACCCATTCGTTTCTAAAGAATTTAAACTTGAAAGTATGTGGGCCAATTAATACATCAAATGTTTCCAATTTCAATTCCCCGACTAATGAAATTTAATATACACTTTTTAATACAACAGATATCGGAAGTATGACATAATGGTCCGTAAAACAAGAAATCAGAGTATTTAAAGTCTCGAAGCAGAAAAATACAAGAAATGTTAGCATAATTACAGTAGCTTTAATTAATTATAGAAATCCTTTCGTGATCTGGAGATTACTCCATTTAGCATAACGTATCACCAGGCAGGCACCCCCATACTGATGTATCTCAATGATATTTTCACTGCGACTACCTCCTGTAATCTTTCATACATTAGCTGATGATCAGAACCTACACTGCTATAATTAAAAACTGCTTTTCTTCATTATTTTATTTCCCAATTTTTATGTTCTCTTCGTTAGTAAAAACTCTATGTCCAACTGGAATATGCATTCGAGTACAATCCAAACTGCATCACATCTAAACTGCACTGGTATTTTATGAGATTACTTAATTCCCATTTTCAATGTATTTGCATCTCTATTTTAGAAATTCATTCCAAGATGATTTAATTTGAAACAAAAGGCTTTAAAATGGTTAATTTTTAAAAATTTCTTATTTCACAGCTTTATGAAATTGACAAAATATTATAGCCTATCAGAACTGAATCCGAATTGTGTAAATATTTTGAAAATGCCATCATACGAGGGGGAAAATGGGCCTTTACGAAAAAATGTCAGTTTTCAGAAAACTTGCATTACGATTCACACTTTACTTCGTATGTCGTGTAAGACTTATTTCGGCTTATTTGTAAAAAGCTGTATCTTTATAGTTTCTTTCTTTCTAAAGTATGTATTCTTATAAGTTTCTGAGTGACTGAAGTGGCAGAATATTGGCGGTTTGTCAGGAGTTCAATTATTTGGAGGTTAAATGAACTAGTGGCACAGGGTGTTAGTGTTTGCACACCGCCACAAAGATAATACTATATTTAATATATAATATATAAGCCGCTCTGTGTCGTATTCCAAGAAATTCTGTTTGCACCCCTTACGGTTGAGGAAACACCTGATTTGTATCTAGGTATTGGAAAACATGGAGAATAAAATTAAACATTTAAATATAAGTAAATAACTGAAATAAGTTATAACCAATCACTTATTCAGTCATAATATGTATCTCGGACTTCTTAAATTTAATTGTGTATAATATTTGAATTTCAGCCTCTTCATCCTTTAGAATAACATAAAATGTCTACGAAATTTTTTTTAATATTTTAGGTTGACTGTGATGAACTGTCTTGAAAATATAAAGTTAAGAAGTAATCTAGTTGAACTAGATAGGTGAAATACCAAATGAAAAAACATCGTTTCTTCAAATAATTGCTTAAACAAAAATATTCCGCCTGGCGTTTGAAGCACGAAAAATCAATAAGATATTCTTGTCGTGCCTTTTCTTATTATAAAGATCACTTTTACAGATTGAAAAGGAGTTTGCTAAAATTAATCTTTTGCTGCTATTTGGAATGTAACTATCATTTCGTGAAAGAAATGTGAATAATTCCTACTGACCAATAAGCCTGAAATAGCTGCATCTAATTTATCTTAGAAATTAAATTTAGTATACATTTTCAGAAATTTCTGACCAATGATATTCACTAATCGTTGAGTTTATTAATTAGTCTGCGATTTTTAAATATTCATTTCTACAGATTTATAGTATATCGATCGTGAGCTTAAAACTTAACTCAGCATTTGAAGTTCAGGAACTATCTGAATATAAGAGGCAAAGACCAATAAGCAGTAACAAGTGATTGAAAATACCTTATAACTAATGAGTTGTAAAAAATGATTAAAAATACCTTAAAGATCTTTCATGCTGGAATCACTGCCATCATTTCTACTTCTCAGGTGATATTGTTAACTAACAAACTGACTTGTCTCACTTTTCTTGTCTGAATAGTTTCGCTTCTTGTGGTGAGAGCGGCAAACAGCCCATCCACTCATAAAAAAAGGATCTATTTCAAATCATGAAATGTGCGATGCGCTGTTATAGGGCTCAACAAGCTAAAGTTAAAAAGGCTAAGGTTAAAATTTACGTATAACCTCTTTTTCGAGTAGGAGATAGGTATTAAGTAGTAAATTATTGAAGTACTTTAACTTTTTAACTTACTGTTATGAAACAGTAACACTTTTGTTCAAAAGTCGCTTTTCTAAATACGCTTGTGTTGAACAATTATTATTTAAACGTTTGCTCTCTGGAACCCATGCAAAAGGTTAAATTTCATATACACAAAGCTTTCCTACCCCAAGCACTGAAACTGCGTTCATAAAATTATCCATCTTCTTTTGAGAAACTTTGCAGTCACAAGTATGTGCCTACAGAAAATACCTTTTTTAACATAATATACATGTTAAGTTGTCTTACATGAAAATTCGCTTTTTCTCGCAGGACATCTTTAAAAATGCAGGTGTTTTTATATGTGAAGTCGCCTTATATTTGGACTAAAATGTCCTATATATATGTGTGTGTGTGTGCTTAATTTGATTTATGTAGGTTTGTTGTATATGTGTTTAGATTTTCTGAGTTATTTTTCATGTGATAAATAGCGTATAAAAATAATGCGTTATAATCCCTGCATTACTTTGCAACTGTATGTTTTTAACTATTCTGATTTTGTATTTATTCTTTTCAATTTAATACTTAAGAGAGTATCTCGAGTTTAAGAAAGTTATATTTTGAACTTCACACTCTCAGTACAATATATTCGCTTATATATATTTGCACATTTTAAAATCATTCAGCGATAATTTTTTTGCAACCGATCTGTAAAAAAGCAAGAAATGGTTGTTGAGTATTACTATTATCATTAATTATATTATAAAATTTCTAAGCAATTGTATTTAATGAGTATCTAAATAATTTTCTTTTTCGGAGATAATGCATCGAATTCTCTATTCAGTACAGCTGAATAACGAATAACAACGCTTACAAAAATTTAAAAAATCATCTTACCTAAACTGGTCTCTGTTGTACACGTTTTCTTGTTTTATACTAAGAATAACAGGCCCAAGAGCTTCGTCATTTGTGAAATAGTTCCAGTGTTCAGTTCCATAAAAATATTTCTCATAAGTTTCTTCTTCAACAGATATCAGTTCAAATTTCTTCTCTAAATCTTGTGCTGTATAATTAACGCTAAGTGAGTCATTTGTTGTATTACTGCCACTACATTCAATCCAATAACCCGGAATAACTTTTATGGTATGCGGGAAACCTTCGCAAGATCCACTGCCAGGGCAAGCTTGGACAGGAATGGGAAACTGCAGAGTAGTTGAACTTTTTCTCCGAGCTTCAGCACAACCCAGACTCTGTCTTTTATAATCCCTTAATTTCTGCATAAACTCATCACCACTACTTAGCCCTGAGACATCGGCATAATGAAGAGAACAGTATATTTTATTTTGATACCGTCTTGCTCGTTGAATGTTGGAGCCTGCGAGACGTAAACCACAAGTATTGCAAACTAGGCAGTCTTCGTGATATGTGGAGCCTGCTACAGTAGTATCGGGCACCGAAATAGCAAGTCCATCTTCTAAAGCTTCTTCGCTTGGAGAAGCTGGAGGCCACAGACCGTTTGTCTGGTGGCTTAGTATAGGGAGTTCGCAGATGAAACATAAGGAAGACATCGAACTCGTTTATTGTCCTAAACTGAGTAAGAATTAAGTCAGTCAAGCGTAATATGCGGTTTATGCCGTGCAGTCACATTTGCACAGCAAATGTAAGGGTATATATTCGTTTGAACCCAAGGTGTTTGTGACTGATCTCTTCAGGATTTTTAGTTATTCTCTTTTATACATATTATAGATGTAGTTGATTTGAAGATTTAAATACCCAATGAATTACTTGTTTCTAAGAAAAATACAAAGCACCAATACTGTACTTTTGTTTTAAGAAAATATTTTATTAGATAAAAAAATTTAGCAGATTAACAATAGCTGTGTTACCATCAAAGATTTTATTTTCTACTTCTAATTTATATTTGCTATGTGACGCTCATATTTCTATACTCATCTCACTGAATTTTAAATGTTCTTTACTGTTTCGGCTCTTTGATTGAGATCGGATGCTTAACTTTGAAAATTATTTGGCACAAATGGATAGAATTTTATGAAAAATTATAGATATTCTCATATGGTGCCACAGATGGCATTTTATATTCTTCTATACCAACTTCCATCTTGAAGTGAATTTCCCTTCTTGAAAAATAGATCTCCATGGAATGTAAATGGTCTCTTCTTGCAGCATCTTTTTACTGCTTTGACAAATAGCCACATTTCCAATCTGAAAGAAAACAATTGAAATTGAAATTGAGATGATTCCTATGAAACTTTTATCATAAAAGCTAATTCATAACATAACAATTTACAAATTTTGTCTTATCTGTAAAAGCAATACTGTCAATAAGCAATTTTTAGTTGATATTGATTCTAGACATTATACTTCCAGTTATGAAATTTCTCAAAGTAATCTTAAAATTTTTTAACGTAAAAAACACAGCATTCTATGAACACTGTGGGTGGAAGGATTATGTAAATATAAAAAATCAAACCGTTTACATGTTTCCTATGAAGCAAATCTTCCAGTTATTAAAATGCTTTAATAATTTAAATACAAGATAATCCACATCTTTACATGCAACATTATAGGATATATTCAAGAAAGAGTGTTCCGACATAAATGACTTTCCATATCGAAATTTTCCATTTTTCAATCAAATTAAGAAATCAACTACAAATGATGACGAACGATTCTTCCGTATTAGATTAAAAAAAGCACTTAAACCTAATTTACATAAATGCACATTTACATAAATGTTACACATGAAATTGTAGAGACATTAGGTATTTTTTGGAAGGTGTCCGCCGAAAACATCGCGGCAAAACATCGCGGACGAAAACGTCGCGGAGAAAACAACGCAAGGCGAAAACGTCGTGGTACAAAAAAATCGTGAGAAAATAAAGCAAAGAGAAAACGTCGCAGTTCTAAAACATCGAGGCACAAAACATCGTTGTCTAAAATAAAGCGGTTCAAAAACTTCGCAATTTAAAAACATCGTCGACGAAAATATCGTGGTAAAAAAAAAGTACCTACAAAATCATCGCATGACGATAACATCGCAGACATGCGTTTTTCAGGCTTTAATAACTGTAAAATTTAATAATTGTTTAATAATTATAAAAACTCGCATAATGGTTTGTCAGCGCAAGATGTAAAGAAGGATAATTTTTACTTTTATATTTTTTCTTAGCTAATAATATTTGCTCAAAATGCAAAATGGAAACTTAAGTATAGAAAATTAATCCAATTTAAAGCGCTTAATAGAATTTCGAACTGACATATTTAACTAACAAAGGTCATTAATAACATATTTTTTATAAGTTTTACTGGAATTTTTCATGAAAAGTATTATCTAAAAAAGAATAGAAAAAGAAAGATAAGTAAAAAATTGTCAAGTTAATTATGAGATACTTTTCTTCACTTTTGTTGATCTGATACTCTTATAATAAAAATTACTTCTCGTTTTATTTAAATTTCTTGTTTTGCTTTTTTTAAATGTATTAATTAATAAAAAATATGAATGTGAAAATTATCGTTCTTTTGATCTTGCACACACAATTTTTTTTGCGAATATCCATTTGCAATTATTAAAGCCTTAAAAATCATGTCTGCGATTTTATCGTCATGCGGTAATTGTAGGTACTTTATTTTTTACCACGATATTTTCGACGACGATGTTTTTAAACTGCGAAGTTTTTGAACGGCTTTATTTCCGACGGCGATATTTTGTACCACGATGTTTTAGAACTGCGATGTTTTCTCTTTGCTTTATTTTCTCCCACGATGTTTTGTATGACGACGTTTTTGCCTTGCGTTGTTTTCTCGCCTTGCGTTGTTTTTCTCAGTGTTCAGCGACTTATCACTCGGCCGCTAGTGGCCCTGCTTGATGATAAGAATAAGGTACGTTTGTTTCTTCATTAAAGAACTGCATAACGCATGAAAGTTTCTTCTTTAGAACTTATGGTAATAACTGCTTTAAGTTAACCGATTTACTTCACTATAGCTATAGCATCTTTAGCTCACTATAGCATCTTTAGCTCACTATAGCATCTTTAGCTCACTATAGCATCTTTATGAAACAGCACTAATATTTTTAAATTTCAAGTTTAGCTCCTTTTTACAAGATGTTAATACATGTTATCATTATATTAGTGATAATTAAAGTTAAAGCTGATAAACCCTTTCTTGGTATACATTTCTGCCTCCATTGCAAAACTGCCATGCATTAAAATTCAGATTTTGTTTAAAAAGCGTTCTGAAATAAATAGTAATTTTTATGAAATACTCTGGCACATTACCTTAATTCTTGGCTGAATATTTTGTGTTATTGAAACTTTTTGTTTGAAATATGAGGAAAATAAATTTCTCCAAGAAATCTGAGATATCTCTGCATCGAAAGATATTTATAAGCAGTTATTGACAGTCAAAAATGAATTTCCTATTTTCGAGTCTTTTGTGATATAAAATATCACTGGTGTTAACAGTCTTCTTCCCTTCTTTAAAAGACCTTCTAAAAGTGCAAGATTTACTTACTTTACTTATGCAACTTTACATACGGAATCTGAGATTCTGGATTCTATAAGCAATATAGATATGCCATAAGCAATTAGATTTTGCATGCCGGAAGTAATGCACTAATAACTTAGATCACATTTGAAATATCATATTTTATTAGAGTGAAAATTCTTATTGTCTATGCACTTTTTCCAATTCGCAAACTTATTAAACAATGATAATTGTGCAGCAGTTCGTACTAAAAATAAATTGTATCTTTAATTACAAGTTAAGAACATACAGTGTTGCATTTAAAATGCAAAATGAAAAGTGTATAAAAAGTTCGCAGATTTTACAGAAACTATACTACAAAGTTATGCTCACCGTAATGTTTTTAAGTACATTAAAGTAAGATTTTGTTAAAGCTACGGTACTTTAAAGACCATTCAGGGACAATATGGTAAATGAAATAATGTGCAGATGTGCAGATGTGTTTGATAAAAATTATACTTTCAAGTTATGATTTTTCAGTAACGGAAAGAATAAATTAAATTTAATGCTATTTATTCTGCATCATTTATATAATTTTAAGTTACTTAAAACTAGTTTTCTGTTGCATTAATCGAAATTAATATTTTCATAGGCAATTACGATAATTTTTTTTCTTTTATATCATCTGAATGATGATACCATAACTGGCTTCCGTAACATTATGGTTTTATAGTTAAAATTTTAGAAACTAAATTTTACTGTGAATAATGAGTTTTGGTTCATCATGCTAGTGGAGATATCAACCTTCATGTATTAATAATGCAAAAGAAAAATGGTGGCTTGTTCTCTTGTCCAATGATGCTTTGCAAGTATGCAACGCAAAGGGGAAAGCTTTGGAAAATGCAAATTTTTAAACAACTCAAAATTGTCATCCTCTAACAACTATTTAGCCCCTCTCCCCTTCCACCAAACCAGACGAGAGGACTTTCGGCTCGCCGTATATTCAGAGTGCCGCCATGTCGCAATGACACTATACATTTACAAACATCCATGCCTTCTTCGGGATTCAAACCCATGCTCTTCGGCACCGCAATCAACGACTCAAACCACTATACCGGTTGGGCGGCCGGTTGCATTAGAACACTTTATTGGAAGAAATATCTTTAATTCTTTAACCTGTCATATGCTCGTCAAGATCCGACGGAAAATTCCGCTGTGCTCTTTATTCGACCAACAAGTAAACATTATCTAAAGATCAGAAGCATGTCTTGGTATAAAGAGTTCTCGGAAAAGTTACATTCAAAAGAACTTTGTATATAGCAATGTATACTGTAATAATGTATTCAAAAATATGTATATAATAATGTATACTGTAATAATGTGTTAAAAATAAGTATATAATAATGAATGTAATATAATACACACGCACACATATGTATATATACCTATAACAGGGTGTCCCGTAGATGTTACACACACACACACACACACATATATATACATATACAGGGTGTCCCGTAAATGTGGCGACAAACGTCTGGGGGAGGTAGGGCACATCCATGAGGATTAAGAATTGCATAGAAACCCATGCCCAGAAACGTCATTGTACGCCGCAAGGGGGTGTTGTACAGGAGAGTGCTAGTGAAAAGTGAGGATTGCCTCATTCGAGCGGTAGGTACCATACGAGGAGAATGGAACGTTGTACGAACGGAGAGCTTGCAGACACTCACTTAGTGCATGCAATAGCTGAGCTATATTGCATGCAATAGCTATATTGGATAAATGCGTACTTTTAGCTTCACCCTCTGTGCTGCTTGGATGCAATTTCGCTGTGCTCTCTTCCTATCGCAACAGTATTCAAAAATGTAAATGTTATTTAATAAGTACGATTAGAGTGCCAAATGAATTGTGGCCACAAATGTGAATTTAAGTAAAAATGGAATTTAATCCCGCTCGAAATCTTCCTTTTCAATATGGATCTACGTTCTACGCCTAACAACATTGCTACACTTCTACGTCTCAGTGTTCTTACTTCAGCAGTTCTCTAAAATTTGCTTTCTTTATTTATATATATGTTGATGTTATAAAAATGAAGATTTGGTTTTAATAATGCGGTTTTAAGTATAAATGCGGTTTAAGTAACGAAAGATGTATTCGGAACTCATTAATCAACTCGTTTTAAGGGTTCAAAACACTTTTTCCTTGACAAGTTCTGTTTGAAGCGTTAAACAGAGGAGATTAAAACATGTTTTATTATTATTATTATTATTAGTTTAGTTTGCGTATTTGAAAATTCATTTAAATTTAATGTACTCCATTTGGTAATTCCTTTTCTGGAGAAAAAATTGGTTAAGGCCTTCATAAAGAAGAAAAAAATTCAATTTAGTTCCGACATTTCCGTTTTAATTTATATATATATATATTTAATAGGGGGACCGGAAAGTAAGGTCGTTTTCTTACATTAAATTCAAACGAATAAATTTGTAAAAAGTTTTTATTTTCAATCAATAATATAATCTCCCTCGTTATCAGCAACCTTTTGCTATCTAGTATGCCGACTTCAATCCCAGACCGATAAAAATCAATTGGTTTTTGAGTAAAATATCTCAAGATGGCATTTTGGACATCATCAAAATTTTGAAATTTTTTGCCACTAAGAAAAATGTTGTAGGGATTGGAATAAATGGAAGTCCGAGGTTGAGATATCGGGCGATTATGGTGGGTGAGGCAGTACCTCC